CTCTCAAGTTGGACAAAAATAGGGACACCCCCGTGAAGCCTGTTTTATTTCTTTTTGGGCTGCCTGTGTTATCGGGACAGATGATGCTACTACATAAACTTTTATACCTGGCAAGAAGATGCATCCTGCTTCAGTGGATACAGGCAAACCCTCCATCTGTTACACAATGGTACAGAGAGACTTTGAAAGTTTTTCCAATGGAACGCCTCAGTGCCTCCTAGAAGACACTTCAAACACTTTCTATAAAATATGGCAACCCTTTCTGGACCATCTACCTCAGGACTCAGCTGATGTGCTTTATAAAGGAGGCTCCCAATTTATTTTTAATTTTAATCAATAATTGTGCAATGTGTATTTCTTTTTCATTTTAGCTCTGACTCAGACCTTGTGACAGTGACAGCAGGGACAGGGGACACAGGGCTCAAAACCGGGACTGTCCCGGGTCAATAGGGAAGTCCCAAAATTATCAACAGGCTACATTTCTGTCCATTCCATTCTATTTTTTTCCTCTTATCTGGGCTGGGTCACGGGGGCAGCAGCCTGAGCAGGGCCTCCCAGACTTCTCTCTCCACACACACTTCCTCCAGCTCCTCCAGGAGGATCCCAAGGCGTCCCTCCAGCCTGTCTTAGGTCTTCTCCGGGGGCTCCTCCTGGTGGGACATGCCCGGAACACCTCTCCAGGGAGGCGTCCGGGAGGGATCCGGAACAGATGCCTGAGCAACCTCAAATGGCTCCTCTCTACGTGGAGGAGCAGTGGCTCTACTCTGAGCTCCTCACCCTATCTCTAAGGGAGCGCCCAGCCACCCTGCGGAGGAAACTCTTTTTGACCACTTGTATCCGCGATCTTGTCCTTTCGGTCATTACCCAAAGCTCATGACAACAGGTGAGAGTAGGAACGTAGATTGATGATACAGGGACCGCATCACTCCCAACGCTGCATCGATCCACCTGTCAATCTCACGCTCCATCCTCCCCTCACTCATGAACAAGACCCTGAGATTCTTAAACTCCTCCACTTGAGGCAGGGACTTACATTTCTGTCATAATCCAAATAATCACGATTCAAAGGTGTTTAGTAAGAGTTATTTCATCATGTATATAGGACAGAGACAGAGCAAAGGATCATGGTATATGTAGTTCTCCTGACATTTAGCTCCATAACAATTAATTTAAGAAAATAAACTTGTAATTCAATATATTGCGATGGCCCACGGTATTATTGTGACACTTCTGACAATACGATATCACGATATTTCGGTTATTGTTACATCCCTACAATTTAGGTGTTTGATTTTCAGCAAAATGGTGAAAAACTAAGTGAAAAACTAAGAATTTTACAAGTGAGAGACGTGTTTAACAGCACAAACCATCTCACCTGTCGTAGTTCCAACTGAATCAGCTCCTTCTGGTCAGATTGTGTTAAAATAAAGCTCAGGTAAAAGTCTAATAGAGCGTCAGACAGAGCAGTGCCCACAGTTAGCGTTACAACCCCAGGAAACATTGACGAGCTGCAAAGTATCAATTCCGACAAGCAGGTAGGATGTGTCCCGTTGGCTTATTGAAATTCAGTAGGTGCGCATCAGTGAGCACAGTAATAATGCACGTAGTTTGTAGAAGAAAGTAACAGCAGTAGTACTTCTTGTAGTAGTAGTAGTAGTAGTAGTAGTAGTAGTATGTATTGCAGTGCAGTGTCCATAACCCCTGAGTCACGCGTCAGAGAAGACAGGCAAACATACACATGATAAAATCTGGTTCAAACATCTCGTCATTAAAAAGTGGCAGGAAATACATAATACACTTTAAATATGTGGACCTTGTATTGGCTTAGCATTCTAAGAGGCAAAAAAGCAATGACAACATAGATCTGGATTACAAGTCATAGAAAAATACTTTAAAGAGGGGGTATTATGATTATTATTATTTTGTAATGTGTGAGATACTGTATCCAAAAGTTTGACTAAGGCCTGTTTACATGAGAACCCGGGCAAAAACGACAATATATTAAATCGGAAGTGCCTTTTGTTTAGATCAGACATGTCAAATTCAGGCCCAGGGACCAAATTTAGTCCACGATATAATTATATTTGGCCCGCGAGATCATATCAAACATGTATTAGAGCTGGCCCGGCGGCTACAAATAGGCTATAGAGACATTATTTATTTAAAATGTTATTATTTTATATTTTGCTTGTTCTGGATTCAATGTTTAAGCAAAACTATTATTAAACATTTATTTTAATAAGAAAAGGTTTAACATTTAACAGAAGAGAAAGCATGCAGATGTTTTTGAAAATTTAATATATCAATAAATATTTAGTTTGGCCCAAGACTTAGTCCCAGTTTTTAATTTTGGTCCTCTGTGAATTTGAGTTTGACACCCCTGGTTTAAACGGTGACGGCATTTTGGGGCTTAAAAATGCAAAAATCTGAAACCGCCCTCCAGAGTGGAAAAGTTGAATACTCTCCACCGGAGTGTTTCCGTCTACACTGCCCAAGACGCAAAACTGCGGTCAGATCTGCTTACGTCGCGTTTACAAAGCCAATCGAATTCCACACACTTTTGCGTCACTCTATGCACGCAGATTTCCTCCTGAAAACTCTCGTCTAAACGCGGAATAAAAAGTGAAGACGCGATGCCATTTTTGCGTCTTCTGTTCAGACCGTCATCATATAAACGTAACCTTAGTCTAAGTCTAATGTACTGCTAACTCCTCATACATCACATATTTAGATTGCCATGTTACCTTTTATTGTTTTGAAAATGCTTATTTCCCAAAAACAATGTATCAAATGTTTAGTTTCAGTTTTCGTTTTTTGCCGCTTTGAGACACATAAAACCTCATCAGGCATGTTTTTGATGAGTCGACATTATAACATGGTAGAAAGTCTATCCAAAAAGTCGATTCTGCATAATACCCTCTCTTTAAGGTTTGAGTTAATTCATATTTTTATAGTCATCTCTCAAATGTATGGACCAGGATTGTAAAGTTCACAATATTTTGACAAATGATAATTATTTTTTATCCAATTGCGTCCATAAGTAGCTACTTTAAACAGTGATAACATTTGGTATTCCATGAAAATACATTAGTTTTTTCACCAAATGTGTTATTATTATTATTTAGTATTTAGTTTAGTTGCTATTCTGCCTGAAAGACCAAAGTCATCTCACAATCATACGGACATACAGTATTTATACAGGGACTGAACCACCAACCTCCTGGTCAGTGGGCAAACGTGTCAGTTGACTGAGCTACTGCCCCTTGAACTCTGCAGCTAGAAAACTATTGGAAAGTTATTTTATCAAGTAATTACCGTATTTTTCGGACTATAAGTCGCACTTTTTTTCTTGGTTTGGGTGTTTCCTGCGACTTATGCTCCGGTGCGACTTATATATTAAAATTTTTGCGAGAAGGCGCTCTAGTCCTGTGTGTCAGTATCTGTTGCTTCTATTACTTCTGTATCACTGTCACTTCACTCTACTGTGCATGTCTCCTGCAGAAAGAGCCTCTGTCCTGTCTGTATCATGTCAGTCCATCGCACCATTACTTCTGTACCAGTGAAAATGTAAAATTTAAGTGACTTCAGTGACAATCGAAACCATCCTGTCGGGATTCAGAAAGGTCAGAATAATTCTAACTGGAACTGATGCTGAGTCTGACAACAGCTACACAGAAGAGGAAGCGGCGCTCTGTTTACCTCCGGAGGTTGTGGAGTTACTCAGAAGTGACACTGAGGATGAAGAATTTCAATGGATTTAGTGATTTGGAGTGAGATGGAGAGTTTGGTAAACTTGTTCTGTTTTGTTGTTTATGCTCTAGTTATCTGAAGAACTGTTCATATGTGACGTTAACAGTCTGTCGTTCTCTGTTCAGTCCTGTTGCGTTTCAAGATGAAATCTCGGGCTCTGATATCTGATTTTCTACAATAAATTTCCCCCAAAAAGTGCGACTTATATATGTTTTTTTCTTCTTCATTACGCATTTTTTGGCTGATGCGACTTATACTCCAGTGCGACTTATAGTCTAAAAAATACGGTACATTTATGGATTGCACAATTCTCAGTTCCAGTGGAGATAATTGTAAATATCTCATTAAATTCAGCACGTTTAGGTCAAATGTCTATTTTTTTCCTAATCTACAGAATGTTTAGAAAATACTCTTAGCTTATTCAATGTGTGGTAATTTAAAGTTGCAACAAGTAACATTTCAGGTGGAGGGTTCACTGCTTGTTTGTCTCCATGGAAATGCTATTGCTTTGTCTGAAATGGTCCACAGTGTAACACTAAACCTATCTCCTCTCTGTGGACTAAAGCAGAGCAGATGAATAAATAAATAAATAAATAAATAGATAAATAAATAAATAAATAAAGCAGAGCAGATGACACCGCCAGGCCAAATTACAGGTCAGGTGCGTGGAAAGGCGAACCCACTCACAGTGAGAAAGCATGTTTTCAAGGTTATTTTTGGCAGTAAAAACACCTGTATTTGAAAACGACGCAAGAAGGTCAATTAAATGCCATATTGTGGAACACTCTGGGCAAAGTCATATCATCTCCATGGAGACAAGCAGGTGGCCGACCCTCCATTAGAAAAGTTTCATGCCGCATCTTTAAATAACTTTGAGGCTTTGATAATGTTTTATAATAGTACTGAGGGGACCCGTTAGAAGAGCGTTTTTTTGGAGTCCAGTGTTTTACGTTAGGGCATCTGATGTAAAAGATTATGAATGGATTTACACAGATTAACACTTAACGAGTCCTCCACACAGCTCCAGTGTCACGTCTCTACTGTTACAATATGTAACCGACTCTAATATACTGAAAACTGCAGTACTTATTATTATTCCATCACTGCAGTAAACAGTATGATATTCACATGCATGAGTATTAAAAAAAAAAACTTACTTCTAATTTACCAAGCAAAAGAACCATACAAATGTCTGTGCCAGCATGCCGATTCAGAGTCTATGCTTAGTAACGTCGCCCGTGTTTGAGTCGCTATGGGCCAGGGCTGTCCGAGTCTGGTCCGTGGGGGTGCGGGGGGGCGTCGGTGTGGGGCGCTGATGAGGAGGAGGAGGAGGGGAGGATGAAGGCGGGGCGCGTGTGGGGCATAGGGTGCAGCTGCTGTGATTCCGGTTGTTCGGTAAAGTCCTGTCCCAGCAGCGCGGTAAGGCTGTCCTCTGACGCTGTGGCCAAACTCGAGTCTTTGGGTTCTTCTGATGGTTCCACTTTGTGAGACGGGCCCTGAGACGAGACAGAGAGAGAGGTTTAGTCCACAGAAATGGACATGTTATGGCCACTGTCACACCTTAATGATTGAGCCAGCGTATGCCGGCGTAGGAAAAATTATATAGGTAAGTTTTGTATAAGTTATGAGCATGCTGAAGCACGCTGGCATACGTCGATATATATAAAGTTGTCAAAAACATTTTCAGCATGTTTAAAATTTCTCAGTGTATGTCAGCGTTTATACGTCCTGCATACGTGGGCCATAAATTGTATGTAAGCACTGTTGGGCAAGTTACTTCAAAACTGTAATGAGAGAAACTGAACTGAACCAGGATTAAACCAGGACTAAACCAGGACTAAACCAAAGATAAACCAGGACTAAGCCAGGACTAAGCCAGGATTATACCAGAGCTGAATCCGAACTGAATCAGGACTAAACCAGAACTAAACCAGAACTGACCCAGGTCTAAACCAGGTCTAAACAAGGACTAAACCAGGTCTAAACCAGGTCTAAATCAGGACTAAACCAGGACCAAACCAGGACTAATCTTGGACTAGAACTTGGAATCTAGAACCGCCCCTGAGAGAACCCCGAGCCCGTGGAACAAGGTCTCTGCAAGGCGCGATCATGCGTCGGCTCCGATTTGCCACGTGGAGCATGGAGTTCTGCGCCGGTCTGCCGATATCACGGTGATTTTAGCGAATTTGTATGAAGAAAAACCCACCACTTCAATCCAGGGTAAAAAAGCATTACAACGCGCATAACTGATATTTGTACCAAGTGAAATATTACAATTTTTTCCCCTGTAATACCTTACATTACTGCGTTACAGCAAAAAGCAACGCATTACAGTAATTAGTTACTTTTATAACTTGTTACTCCCAACACTGTAGGTAAGTTATGCGATCATTGACACATATAATTATAAATTACCCATAAGTCCAAATACGTTGAGATCATGTCTAGTGTACCCATAACTTATGAGTAATGTGCTTTGAACCTGTGTATAACTTATATCGAACTTATCTCCTACGCACATTGACATATATGCAGACGTGTTTGACATGTTCCAGACGACCACAGAACTTACTGAATGTGTTTCTAACTTATAGCTACCATATAATGGCGTGGGGAAAAAGTCATTTGCATTTTAAAAGAGCGTCATGTAGGCTATCTGCGGAGAACACCATATAGCCTAAATAAATAACCAATCAATTCATTGCGCCAGCTCAATGAGATGACTTTATTACTCACTCAGCATTATCCATACAATTTGTCCTCTGAAATAATGACATCCAGTCCACAAAACCACGCTATAAATCCCATTTGAATCATTCTTTGACAGTAAAAAGGCAAAAGTACCACAGTCACTAATTTGTAGTACGTGTCTCTCAGAAATTCTTGTATCATTCAGAACAAGGTATGTAACTTCTTAGACTTGAGTTTTGTGCTACTATTGTTAACTCTACAGAAGTGAGTGTCAAACTTGTCAAACTATGTGATTCTGGCTGGTCAGGTAAGAAGGTAAATACTTTAGATATTTTTTTAAACATTTGCTATGACACCAAATGTGAAGGTGAAGTACTGATGGTTAAACTGTCACTGATATAAAATGTGCTGGTACCTGTGCCCCCGTATGGCTGAACAAGTGGCTGGTGGACAGGGGGGCAGGCTGGAGCTTGGTGGCTGGTTTGTGGTACTCGGGGCTGGCGGTGACCGTGCTGTAGGCGGGGGGTCCTGGGGTGGGCTGTCTCTGGAGCAGCTGGAGGATGGTCTGGATGTCCGTCATCAGCTGAGTCTCCAAGCTGGACAACCAAACACAAGAAATACAAAGTTAGAAAGAGCTAGGAGGTGAGATGCGAGGTATAGTATTTATAGCTACACTGACTTTTTTTTTTATTATTTTGTTTATGCACCAAAATCAAATATGGTATAGCCTAGTTTAGTGATCAAGTTTAAGCAATTTTGTTGATGTAATCTTCTGAAACAAAAAATAAAACTTATTCTCAACTCAGTTAAACACATTTTCAATAATTGCAATAATTATTTTTATTTATTTTTTTCACCACAAAGCCACTGTTATGATCATGTTGACAGTAGCCACACTGCAAATTTGTCCTTTAAAAATTCTTCACTCCCCACTGTCACCAGCAGGTGGCATGGAAAATACATTTGAAATAAATATTCAATCAATAAAAAACACATAAAAAAGGAAATGCCACAGCCAGAAGTCCCACAAGATGCTTTAAATTTGAATAAAAATAAATAAATAAATAATAATGATAATAATAATAATAATAATAATAATAATAATAATAATAATAATAATAATAATAATATCTCTTGGATACATAAAAAAAAAAAATTAAATCCTTCATAGTTTTCTGGTAAATAAACTCTAGGACACATAAAAAGCAGTGTGCCCATAGACAATAAGTACATCTTTTTCCTGATCTGATTTTATATTATAATACATTTTCCAACTAACCAAATATTTAGTTCATACCCAAATTATTATTATTAGTTATAGTAATTTCCAACTAAAACTCGAGTATAGTAAAGTTAAAGTCAAGCCCAGTCAGTACACAAAATGACACTACCCCCAATGCCCACCAGATGGCGCCGTTCCTCCACGGGCTCTGCAGAGTCAGTGTGCAGAGAAGCAGCCCAAACACAGGTCCTTGGTGGAGTGATAATTGTCTTGGTGTGGGAGGTGTGAATTCTTGTCCTATTGTGGAAATGGCTGCCTCACGCTCGTGTGGTCAATCTAATTATGATCTCTTCTATATTTAGGGCTGTGCCAAAATGGGTTCTGCTGAATAACATTTAAGAGCTGTGTAATCCATTAGGAAACACAGGCCAGTTAGCTCGTCTCATCATGTGCTGGAGAATTACTGGCAACAAATCATATGGCACAAATGTATGGGGGACTGTATATATATATATATATATAGAGGCCTATTATTTCAAATGGGAGCTGGCAAATACTGTCTGGTAATTGCTATTCTGCAGTTTTCTGGGGGAAATAGATTTGCCAGTGACGTCACAGTTTAAAAAGTTAGTAATTTAGAGCTTCTACCATGTTATAACGTAGTTCCCTCATCAAAAACATGCCTGAAGAGGTCGCAAAAGATTGTTTTTACGGCCGCCTTGTCACGATCTGCATGTAGGTCTGCAATATACAGTTCTGATTACGTCTGATATGTGTGTTGTTTTCTCCTCCTGCACCCTGCTACAAACACAGACAGGCCCACCTATCTCATGAGAAATGCTGAAATGTTAAGACATGTTTTGTATCATTTCTAATCTTTTTGTAATTATTTATTGACTATTTTGTTCCAATATTGCTGGTTCAGAAAAGAACTGAAATGGGCTATGGCCAAATAAGCGACTTATGGATCCTTTTATTGCTGGTTCAATTACTGTTTTCATTGTTAAAACGTGAGGAATACCAATTGTTCAGAGACACGATCACTCAGTCAACAATAAAATATCCTCATTAATGTTCAATAATGATCAAATCCACATTTATTTTCTGATTTACAAATAATGTTTACTGACTTAGGTCGTGAAGGTTTATGACTTTTAAAATATGGGTCCCAAGAAAAAAAAGTTTGGGAAACTCTGTCACATGTCATCCATGCATGTTTGAGTAATTTAGTGATCTCTCCCGTACACTATTCGAACCCTCCTCACAGTGAGCAAAGCAATAATGTCCAACGCTCAGCCCCAAAAAAACAAGCTCCCAAAAAAACAACACTACAAATTTGCAAACCTGGAACAGTAAACAGTAGGGCTGGATATTATTAAGAAGTACATACCTCAATACATAGTCCACGATATGAAACGTATTTCGATGCAGTGCACTTTCGATTCGATACGATATATTTCAAATCGATTCGATGTGGTTCAATAAAAAGGCTGTAATAATGGCTGTGTTACTAAAAGTCTTTGTTAAACCAGTTCTCATGCAAAGTTCATATGACACACAAACATTTTAATCAACAAAACAGTCAAAATGTCAAATGTGTCGCATAAACAAGTTTTCTTCCTCTAAACAAGCAACAAAACTGTAGCTCTGTAACAAAATAATTGAGTAAAATACACACAAAAAAATAATCCTGGCGATATATCGATACAGCAGCCCACGATATCGATACTGTATCATCACTTTATGCGACACGATATATCAGTATTTCAGTATTTTTGCACACCTCGAGTTTGCAGTAGTTTCATTAGTGCAATTGTAATGTGGTAGTGCTCTGAAGGGGGAGTGATTAGGGCTGAGAACAGACGGAGGGGAAACTCAAGGCGTCAAAACCAAAAGTGACACTTATTAAACATTACTACATTGTTTTCTGCCAATACAGCATTTTCAAAACAATAAAAAGTAACATGGTGATCTAAAGACGTGTTAGCAGTTAAAACATAGAAGTGTGATAACCCCATTTTTAAAGTTGAAGGTTCAATTCCAGCTCCTTTCCTATGTATGAAATGGGTTCAGTCTCTTGGCAAATATTGGCAGCCACTTTTCTGTCAGTCTGCCCCAACACAAGTAATTTTGCACAAACTTGAAAAGCAATTTTGAGTGCTATATTAGACTGGCACATTAAAATAGTGTGATCCTGAATTTAACAAGCTATAATTAATCCTGATAATTATCAACATGTCCTGACAGTATCTCTCTGTAAATATCGCAAAGTCATACCTCAGAATCTCACTTTTACAATGCCCTGGCCTCATTTCAGTTTAGGTTTACTGTGTAACTTTCCAGGTTGAGGGGTTTGATCCCAGCATGTTATTTGTTTGCCTGGAATGTACCACAATCTTGCATTTATTCAATTACAAACATTTTAATTGTAATAATACATTAAAATACATACATTGCTAGTGTGAATGAGCTTGACTCTTCACAGATCGGACTTGTAACTTCACCTGCTTGTCTCCATGGAGAAACATGAAACATGTTTCATGAAATACTGTGGAACCTTCCAGGTGAAGCAATCCATGGGTTTCAGAGAGATGAAAGATTAGGACTGTTTCTTTGCTATTTAAAACTATTCAAAAGCAATATTCAAGTCCCCAAAATGTTTCATATTAATACTTTGCAGTGACGACATGCTGTTGGAGTGGCTGTCACTGACTTATTTCTTTGTCTGTAATGTTTCACAACATGGCATTAAACCTTTCTATCTTCATGGAGACTAGGGTTGGGCGGTATCCAAATTTTGATACCATTAAACCTTCTCAAGATTTTATCGGGGGTATGCGGTATTACTGACTTACCAAAATGTTTTAGTACTACTTTGGTAAGCTTCGAAGTCACACCACTATATGGTCTATGTTACGACCTGCAGATTTATAATCTCTGAAAAGTCTCACATGAACCATCTCCAACACGATGCACGCACAGAACAGACTCACCATCAGCAGCACATCCTCTGTAGCAGAAAGAACAGATATATTCCACTGAGTCGTGTCCTTCAGTCCGACAGAAGCTGAACCGCACCAGCACAGGAGTGAGCTGTTTTTATCAGCGCTTTATAATTTATGCAAATGAGCCATGTGGTTTAAAGTTTTGTTTCTGTAAAATGTAAACAATTTTGCGCCTGAAGCCAAAGTGCGGCCAAATTGCAGAAGTACTAGGACCAACTCGCTTGCGGTCAGACTTGCCATGTTGTCTTGGTCTACCTTTATGAGTATCACGTGACAACGGAACGAAACTAATCGAACGTCACCTCATCCACGCAGTTAAAAGAAACATTATAGACACTATTAATTTTAAATCGTGATAGCATTAAACTGAAAATACACAAATACCACGCCTTCATTTGTGCTGAGCAAACAAATTTAGGTATCAATAAATTATAATATTAAATTAGGTCCTTATGCGCTGTAGCCTAGATTTTTTTAATGACGTAATGAAACTCATATCGTTGCTACTTTTTGATACCGCGGGATACCGTAATACTGTATTACCGCCATCCCTAATGGAGACCAAACGGGACCAAGTTGCAGGTCAGATCTGTGGAGAGTAGGGCTGGGTATCATTAAGAAGTTGCCGATACGATACATACCTTGATACACAGGCCATGATACGATACATATCTCGATACAGTGCACTTTCGAATCGATACAGTTCAATAAAAAATAAAGGGTAAATCATGGCTGTGATACTAAAAGTCTTTGTTAAACCACTTCTTGTGCAAAATTCATATGAAACAAACATTTTAATCCTCAAAACAGTGTGAAAATGGCAAAGGTGTTGCATAAATGAGTTTCCTTTCACTCCACAAGCAACAAAACTGTAGCACTGTAACAAAATAATTTTGTAAAACACACGTAAAAATACTCTTGGTGATATATCGATACAGTAGCCCACGATATCAATACTGTATCATCACATTAAACAATACAATATATCGATAGTCCGATATTTTTACACACCCCTAGTGGAGAGATGACCCCGCTCACAGTCAGAATGCCTGTTTTCTATGTACTTTTGAGCTATAAATCCACCTGCAATTGAATAAATGTAAGGCAGAGCTGTTTAAAGTCACACTGTGGAACATTCCAGGCAGAGCAATGACATATCCACAGAAACAAGCAGGTGACGGACCCCAGCCAAAAAGTTACACAGTGCACCTTTAACACTATAATCATGTATGTTAAAGGAGCAGGGTCGCCTCTCCACAGATCTGGCCTGTAACTTGGCCTGGTTTGGTCTCCATGAAGATAGAAAGGTTTAATACCACACTGTGAATCATTCCAAACAAAGCAATAACATCTCCACGGAGAAAAGCGT